CTTGCTTGGTTTTGTTTTTCGTAATCTAGTTTTAGTCCGATTTAAGAATTTTTACCGAATTTGCAAAACAAATAGGTCATATAAGATTCAAAGACTAGAGAAGTTTTTAGATGGTAACATAACAAAGAATAGAGGGAGGAGAGATAAGCACGACAGATGTTTGATAGGGGGGGAAGGAGCAAACCAAACCACAACGCCAGCAAACTACCCACAAGAAGGAAAGAATAAGCGCAGAATCTGCAACCACATGCATACGCAACATGTACCTAGTCCTTAAGTCTGCACTCCTCATTAACTAGAGCTCGTCATTTCTACATGAAACAGAATGTGTCCATTATATTAGCAACATAGAATTTGTCCTTTGTATTAGCAACGAAGAACTTCTTATTTCTACAAGCAACATAGCACGTGTCCTTTACATATAAGCAACATGGAACGAGTCGTTTGTATAAGCAACAAAGAACTTGTCCTTTATAAAAGCAACAATGTACTTCTCCTTTCTATATAGGCCTTAGCAGCTTAGAACTTGTCCTGTATCTAGGCAGCATATAACATGCCCTTAACAACATAGAACAAGGCCTTTATACAAGCAACAAACAATTTGTACTTTCTAGGCTTCCCCTGACCACAACACTGAACAATACTGGACATGAAAACAATACAGAAGTTCTACAAACCAACAACTCAAGAAAATATATACTCTCGCCGATCCATGTTTATCCTATCCACAGACATACATCTCAGAAGATACCGCAGACAATTTTTAAAATTATAATTAAATGGAAACGAACCTAGGCAGCTCACACACAATCCGAAAGAAGTCTCTTTTAAAAAAATCCACCTAAACATCCATCCATGAATATATCCGTTGAACTTATCGTATCTCACAACTCACTCACAACGGCACAAGTCCCACACAACTCACTCATTCATAACAATACTCGTCCCACACAACTTACTCACAAGACACCGCAGAGGGGAGGGAGAGCAGGTTAGCTCTCAAACAACTCAATCTACAAACAACACCACAAAAGGAAACTCGTAAGTGTCCATCTGTATACCCGCATTACCACGTCCAAAATTCAATAATAATGTAATACAGCGCCAACAAACCCAAACCGATACATTAGTGAGATAAAAGAAACCACGACAAACACAAAACCACCAGCTCAGCAAGTTTTTTTTTCCACACCGGCAGACCTGGGTCAGATTCTGATGACGAACACAGACATGCGACTGGGAGACATGTGGCTAACCTTGACACAGAGGCGATATACATACGTAAATATGTTCACTCTCAACGACCTCAAGTGATAGGCACGATATACGTAAATATATCGATCACTATAGACAGACACGATATACGTTGTTAATAATAATGATAATTAATAATAATAATAATAATAATTAGTAGTAGTAGTAGTAG